TGTGTTTAGTTACGGAAAAACAATTTTGCATTTTCCGTTTTTTGTTTTCCCTTTTCGATTTTTGTTTTCCGTTTTCATTTTTCATTGAAAAATTTAGAAAACGGGTTTAGTTAAACTTATTCATTTTTCATTTTTAGTTTTAGAAAATTAGAAAACGTGTTTAGATGTGTATTTTTCTATCGGTTTTCAATTTTAAAAAACGGTAGCGGTGGTAGGGTGTGTGTGGGGGCGGTGACGGTAGCGGGTCGGCGGCGGTGGTGGTGATGACAGGCGATGGTGGTGGCGGCAGCGGTGGTGGTGGTGATGGTAGGTTGGTGATTGTCGTGGTGGTGTTGGGTGGGTGGGGGTGCGAGTGTGTGTTTGTGGGGTTAGGTGTAGGTTTGTGTGTGTGTGGGTGTGTGTCTGTGAGGGTGGGGGTGGGGGGTAGGTGTGGGTTTGTGTGTGGGTGTGTGTGTGTGTAGGGGGGTATGTATGTGTGTGTGTGCGGGTGGGTATATATGTGTGTGTTTGTGTGTGCGGGTGTGTGTGTGGGGGGGTGAGTATGTATGTGTGTGTGTGTGTTTGTGGGTGGGTGTGTGTGGGTGGGTATGTATGTGTATGTGGGTGTGTATGTTTGTGGGTGGGTGGGTGTATGGGTTTGTATGTGTATGTGCGTGTGTGTGTGTGTGTGTGTTTGTGGGTGTGTGTGTGTGTGGGTATGTATGTGTATGTGCGTGTGTGTGTTTGTAGGTGTGTGTGTGGGGGGGGGGGTATGTATGTGTATGTGTGTGTGTGTGTGTTTTTGGGTGGGTGTGTGTGGGTATGTATGTGTGTGTGGGTATGTATGTGTATGTGCGTGTGTGTGTGTTTGTGGGTGTGTGTGTGTGTGGGTATGTATGTGTATGTGTGTGTGTGTGTGTTTGGGTGGGTGTGTGTGGGTATGTATGTGTGTGTGGGTATGTATGTGTGTGTGGGTTGGTATGTATGTGTGTGTGGGTGGGGGTGTTAAGATGGGAGTAAGTAGAGGTGGATGGGGTGGAGTGGGTGTGTGTTTATAGAAAAAAATTTTGAATTAGAAAAATATGGAAAACAATAATTATCAGTTTTCTAAAAATTTCCGACTTCTTTGTAATTTTTGAAAACGGAAAATTTTCATTTTCCGTGAAAAATTTAGAAAAATAGACGAACTAAACGCGTTTTCAAAATTCTCATTTTTCTTGGAAAATTTTTCCGAAAAACGACCAATTTTTCCGCAACTAAACGCACCCTAAGTTTTTCCATTTTAAAAGGTAATACACTTAATAGGTGAATAAATATAAAAGTACACCACTAGTTAGTAAATATTTTTCAAAAACACAATCCGATTTGCAAATAACTAGCTAATTCTATTGGTTGGTACGTAACCGCAATTTATATTTAAAATACTTAACTAATTACAAAAGCAGTATTTATTACTTAATTTTACATACACTGCCAAACCAAAGTCCAAACATAAACATAAAGAAAGTTGCGTCAACCTAATTAATACGTAGTTGGATTACTAAACCCTATAGATTATCAAAGAAAGGCACACAAACACAATACATATATTGGTTTAACGTACTTTGCTTCTATGTCTCTTAGTACGGAACCCAAACAACGTTGTCTTCAGGCAAAAAGTGGCAAACCGGGACACTTCCTGGTTTCACTTTCAGCACCTGAAACGCTAAATGTTTTGGGTTCCATTTCGCAGTGTCTGTATGGCAAACCGCCACCCCTTTCACTTTACTACCATCAGCGCCCACCAAAGAAACATCATACGCTTTAACGCTAACGGTTTTGTGGCAATAAAACACAGCGTACATGTAGTTTTGCTTATGGCAAACCACAGCTTTATCTGATGCGAGTTTCTTGAAGCCCTCGATTGTGTACTTTTGTAACGGAGTACTTCCTTCAGCATTTACCTCTGTCGAGATCGCTTTCACTTGTTTACCTAACTTGTTAGTACTGAAGTCCACCATGGACTCTAACGAGGTTGCACAATATTTTTCCTCGCCTTCAATGCCTTTGCTCTCGCAGACGCTTAGTGTTTGTTTCATGCTTTTGGCTTCCACTGAGTTGGACTTTATCGAAAACTTGTTGTAGATTTGAGGGAGCTTGTTTGATGAAAAGGGTATCGAATCAGCTACTTGTCGAGGTAAAAAGGCTGCTTTTTTATCGTCTTTCACGAAATGTAACTTCATTTCTGTACCTTCATGCAAGTCGTTCTCCAAGAAAAACGACACTTCGTTTGGATCAACCTTGAGCTCATCCATGGAGACAGAGTATATTAATATTACTGTTTTATGTGTCACCCCTATATAGCGTTTCCCAACTCCGGCGTTGGTGTTCTTCTCTTCTGTTCATTATAGTAAATCAACGTACTGTTTCTTTGTATACTAAATTTGTACGTATGAATAAACAATTAAAAGAGTACTATGAAACAAAGAGAACCTGCGGTGTATAAAAGATCCTTGATTGCTTTGGGCATAGGACTGTTTGGCAACACAGACTTCCAGTAAGCTTTAGGAGTCACTGCGTGACTTCCTACTATTAATGATAGCTGATCCAAAAAGGCAACAAGAATTAATGAATCATAATGTCATCAATTGATACAATGTTATAACATAAATATTACATTAACTTTTTATTTAGTTATTACATTATTATTTTACTAACTTCATTATAGCCAAAAAAACAAAAAAAAGTAATTATTTTACTAATAAAAATATTTTTTTGTTTTTTCAAATGTATAACATTAAGTATGTTAAATAAAACACTTTTATATAATTTTTATATTTTTTGTATGTAATTTATTAAAATCATTTTTGTATAAAGTTTTAAAATTACAAATATAAAAAAATAATTTTTAGTACTAAGCTAAAAAACTGATTTAAATATATTTGATAAATAAAACATTAAAAAAAAGACTAATCTCGTTTAAATAAAAAGCCCTTAGCTCAAAAGCCCGTATTTTGTTAGGTCATAATCTACCTATAAAAGAAAAATAAAACCCTAAAAAACCTTAATCCTTTACAGCCCCACCGTCAAACCTTCTCGTCACCTTACAACAAAAAAAAAAAAACACCGGCGATCACCACCTGCGAATACCACCATTGTTGGTCAGCCAAGAACCATCGTCTGCCGCCTAATTACCATCGCCAGCCACCCAAGAACCATCGTCGCCACAAACCATCGTCTCTCTCTCTCTCTCTCATTTTCGACCTGGTGGCCGGAGATAAGTTACCGGAGTTGGTAATGGCAGTAGTTAATGGCGACGTTAGGTCGCCGGCGGTAAATAATGAGAGTGGTCACTAGAGGTGGTAACATAGTCTTTAATGATTAAAGATTATATTTGTGAAGATATATATATGTCTGACATTATATAAAAGAAATTGAGGTTACAGAGTCAAAAATTACAATTTCTGATGTTAAGAAAATATGTAAAAGCTGGAATGTTAAGACTTTATGCAAATAGCTATAAACCCTAAAAATAGACTAATAAAAATTAGTCAACTAGGATAAAAGATTGATATGTATTAGAGTGGTGTGTAGGAAAAAAAAAAAAAAAAAAAAAAAAAAAAAAAAACTTAATTTACACTATATCTTTTTGACACTATAAAATCTTTTTTGAAGGTATGAATGTGCATGAACTATGTACATCCACTTCCGAATTTTTGGATCGTTAGAATCTTGGGTTAACATCGTTCTAATCATTGCAACATAGTACCTAATCTAGAACTGGAAACAATATGAATATTTGTGTAGTTTTTACATAAATGTTTAGAACCAGAACATCTTGAACCAATTATGATGCATAAAGACATTAAAAGATTCAGAACTATAAGATTCCAAAAAATTTAATGATGATAAGAATATACTTACAGAAAAAAGTGCATAAACATTGAGAAGATTAAACTTCATTGTGGATGATGTATGAAGACTCGGTTTGATGAAGTATTTATAATGGAGTTGAGTAGTAGAAAATGCACCACTCAGCGTTTCACCGATAAGATCAACTGATCAACTGGTTTTATTTATGGCCCACTACCAACTTGCAAAGATCAAGTATGACAAGCCCACGTTAAGGAGCGCAAGAAAAAATCCGATCGACAAAATTATAGATATGTCACTTGTAGTTTATTAAAATTACAACAATTTCGTTCATTATATCATTTTTTTTTTTTTTTTTTTTTTTTTTTTTTTTTTTTTTTTTTGTAATTTTGTTGCAAAGTTGATTTTTAAGTCACTGAATCTAACTTAATTAAATTTTTTTATAAAGACCATTTTGTCCGTGCACCAAATCTTGAAAATTATAATATAACACAATACCATTTTTTGCTCGTATCAACAAAACATTATAAATGAACCATTTAACAAAATTAACTAGGTTTTTAGTGTTTTGTAAAAATAATCGTTTTGTTCTAAATTGGTCATGCTTGACTGACCAAAAATATATAGTGTGTATTTTTTTTTTTAATATTTTCTTTTTCAAAAAACTCCTCTGGTTATGTTTTAAAAGTTGGTTTCAAAATGTTTAATATTTTTGTTCTACAATCAGATATTGATTTTAAGCTTTTATATCACATATTTTCCATTTGCTATATTGTTTTCAACTTTTTGTTAAATTTAATAAAAAAATATTGTATCTTTTTAAATTTCTTATTTTGTTGATTGGATTTATACTTGTTGTTGAAATCTCGTACTCTTTTCTCCAAGATCCAAAATTTCAGTATGAAATCTAGAATTCCAAATCCAGAATTTCAATCCAAAATTTAGTTTGTTGTCAAAAAAAATATTTTTTTAGCTGTTTGGATTGATCTAATACGGACTTGTTAGTGATTTTTCAAAAGAAAATCTATTTAGTCCTTTTCTTTAATATTATCTTAACTGTAGTTAACTAGTTTAGCTATTTTTATAATTTATTTTTATTTACTGTGTTATTTCTCTATTAGTTTTTTTTTAATCTTTAAAGAAAAAACGAAAAATTAAGATGTTCGTTTTTACGAAACTAAAAGTCTATTGATTACATTTGCACTTATCTGCAGTAGAAGAGGTAGAACAGACATATAAAAAATACAACACGAAGTATGTTTGTTTTTTTAATGTCTATAAGCTGCTGAAATAAATTGTAATTAATCATACAATAGTTAAAATAATTCTAAATCAAATTTAGGGTGTGTTTGAAACCCATCTGACTGGGTCGAGTCAGCAAATTGGGCTAACTCGGTTAGACATTCTTTGTTTGATTTGTGGCTTTCTCAGTAAGCTAGTTATCTCAAATTGCTTACCGGGTCAGCATAATACATATCGTTGACTGGGAAATAAGACATTTCTACCCCTCCCTCTTTATTCTTCTTTCCTCTCGTTCCATCGTGACCTAAAAACACAGAGAGTGCATACCAAAAAACGCAGCCGCACATTGTCTCATCCACAACCGGAATCGCCTCATTGCCGGTCGCCGCCATCTCGCCGGATAGTGCCTCGTCGCCGGTCGCCACCATCTCGCCCCACCCCATCTCTCCAGTCGATCGCACATATAATCTCCAGGTAAAGCCCTTCTTCTATTAATGGGGTATGTTGATACAATTGAAATCAGTTATGAAATCAGATTATCAAATCAAATTGTCAACTATGTATAATGTATTATGAAATCATATGTATATTTGCTGAAAATCAACTTTATCTACTGAAATTAGATGTTAACATGTGTTGGAAATCAAATTTATTTGTTCAAAATGTATATAATTGCTTAAACATGAAAAATCTTGTTCAATTTGTTGAAATTGATTGTTATTGTTGCTGGAAATCACATTTTCAACTAAAAATATATCTATATAGAGTAAAAGGGTATAGTGGTCATTTGTTATTTATGGTTTTTGAATGATTTTTGTTACTTGTGTGTGAAAGGTGACTGAGTTTGAATCCTTTCTTTATTGATTACTACAAGAAGAAAAAGTGGCACTTTTTTTTAAATCCCCTATTCTTGTGTAATAAGATGGTGACTGATGTTTCATGGTCTAGTGAAAACAAATAAAGAACATGTGTCTTAAATTCAGATCAAATTACAAGGTAAAATGGTATGAGGAAAAAGGCTTAAAATTACATGTATAATCAAAATTGTCATTTTTATAATTATTCAACAACTTAATCCCTAATTATATATAACAGAATGGTAAAATGGTCATTTTTCATCACTCAGCACATTCAATCAGATGTACAATCAAACAACAGGATATCTTACTCAGTCATAATTTCTTACCTAGACAGACATTTCTCAGTCGGTACTTTCTCAATCAGCAACTATCAAACGAAACCTTATTTTAGTTTTAAGCATATGTGCAAATTGAATATAAAGATAATTATGATTATATAATTTTCAAATACGTTTATTTAAAATAATTTAACATCATAATTGGTAAATAATAATAACTTAGTGAACAACATGTTCATTTTGTTAAATTTTCCAAGCGATGGTTATTTCCGCGATTAGCTTTAATAGATTTGGTAAGTTTTGTGATTAAATTTATAGTTTATTAATATTTGGTTATAGATAATGTAATACAAAAAAGTATTTATATACAATTTATCAAACGGATTGGAAATTATGTAAAGTATACTTGAATTATTTATAACAACATTAATAATATTATTAAAATAATAAACATGTTGTTGAAAAATTAAAACAAATATATGTTGAATAAGTGGTTTGAAGATGAGGGTCCAGTGATGCGCCGTGCAGCACACTCGCAACAATCTTTAGTTTTAAAAAACAAACATGTGTGAAATGCCAGGTTATGTGTGTGTTCTGTGTGGCGCAGCCATAAGTGGTCAAAAGTAATTTTTTTAAAAAAAGTGCGTAAATCTTATCTATCAAAGAATGAAGTCCCGTGGTATTTATTAATCTATATATCAATCTTCGATGCAAGAAGCTACGGTGATGACTCCAATGGTTTCAACCTCCCTTATGACCCATCTTGTTTATTAGATCCATAGTTGTTACAATATGATACCCATTTTGTTTATTGAATCCATAGTCCAAAAATCATCTTCAACATTCTTCTTGATCTTAAAAATATACAAAAAATTATTCACAATTTGAATGAACATAAGTTTGGGATAGGATGAAAAGTTGGAGAAAATACTAGAAGTGTTGCCATCAATGTTGATGATGTGATCCTAAATATTAATTTGGACACTATGTCCCTATTTTGGCCACAACTAATTCACTGCATGTCCAATTGGGTTAATTTAAAAAACTACATAAAGGTAACTCAGTTTCTCACAACTCATATGATATCCTCATCTTCCAATTTGTCATAGATTTTACTCAGAATTTCATACAAGACAGATGATAACACCAGAAATGTCCATTTGCATACCTTGTCGGTATTTTAGTCATAAGATAAGCATCTTAACTCACATGCAGTTTACTCCAGGTTTCATGGAAAGCTTATTCAATTTCTTATAGTTATCATGTTTAATTGTTTCTTCTAATTATTCACTGATTCCACTCATAAATCCATCCAAAATCGATGAAATTGTTACAAAAAACATGATGTTTACAAATTTTGACATCTAAAGATGTTTACATGCATCACCAACTCGTTCTCATCCTCTCGCCACGTTAAATGTTATTGCACCTCTAACCTCCAAGTAGTTGTTCTTAACCACTTATTGCATTTTTTTATCTCCCATAGTACATATTTATACAATTTAAACCCCTCTTACCCCATGCTATTACCCTACGCAAAAGTGTTGAGTACATGAAAAAGGCAAAAGTTCACTTACCATATAGCAATATGTAAATGTAATGATTGCAACCAAGGCATGTAAGGCATGCTAAAACACTCATGTCACCTTCATCACTAAAGCACGTACAATTTATGTTTAATAAAAATTACGATGTTACATCATACTCCCTTTTTGCATGTCTATAATGCTATTGCATCTCTCTATTCACCAAGCACGGCATATTTCACAAAATATTACTCCCATTTATAATTCATAAACCCATTTTGAGTCTAGGTTTTACGGGTATAATGTATAAACACATGTCACATAACACATGGTATTTCTCACACTTTTTCTCATTTTCACCTAGCACATGTTAATACCCGGTCTTCATCTTTGATTCTGAGGAGGTTGTGGTACAGTCCTTGGAATGATATTATTCGTATGCTAGGACAATTGAGTCGTCGAGGTTTTGATTTTTAGTCGTTTTGTTTGATGAGGATTAGAGATGGGAGACTTGCATCCTAGTATGATTTGTAGGTACGTGATTTGCCCCTTACGGTGGTGTATCATCGGATCTTCGCTCTTGACAATCATATACATATTTCAGTCAAAGATCGTGTGTCCTTAGGCTGGGAGGTGGAGTTTTTTCGACATGTTTTCAGTATTTTCTACCAATGCTTACTTAGATAGCAGGATGTTGATTTCTGAAGGTAGTGAAGCTCAATGGAGTAATTTGGTTCCTATCAAGTTGAATATTTTTTGTTGAGAGAGAGTCTTCAGATCAATCCTACCATAGAGAGATTTTCTTATAGGGGCATTGAAGTATAGTTAATTTTATGTCCTGTATGCTCATTGGTAGTGGAGTGAATTGATCATCTTTTCACAGGTTGTTTGGACCTTTCTTAGGTTTTGGTTCGCATTGCACTTTGGTGGGGTGTGAAGCTTCCCAAGCAGATTTCTATCCATTCTTTGATTTCTTGGTCGAGCTCGTGTTGGTTGGTTGGTAGCCAACACAAGGCATTCGATGTGATGGTTTTGATAGTTTTTCGGTGTTTGTGGAATTTTCATAAATGCATTATTTTTTGGATGATTTTGTCTAAGAAATCATTGATCGTTGATGACATGGTACATATATCATTTTTGTGGATTTTCGATAGGTGCTCTAAGGATAGGTTGAGTTTGACTTCTTGGTTACAAAATCCACATTTTTCTTCCTTCCTTTTGAAATGTTTCTTTTCTAGCTCTTTGTTAATTTTTTAATAGCTACTAGTCATTCCAAAAAATATTAGGCATTCTAACCTTTAATAAATGAAGAAATTGGTGAACATTACAAAAAAAGACGTGTAAAGGGAAAAAAAGATGCATGTTTATTAGGATTTTTTTAAAGATTAATAAAAAAAATGAATTTATTTGATAACCGGTTTTAAGCCTTTGTTATCATAACTTTATATATGTAAATATAAAAGTTGGTTATTAGGTTACTAGAGTTCCGTTAGATTAGAACTAGTTTTTTATCGGATTTTTATATAAGATTAGTCTGTCTAACAGTAAATAAACAAATAACCATGAAAAAATATCTCATAATGAATTCAAATAAAACATAAAAAAAACTAATAAAGAAAATAAAACTAAATAAATAAAAGCAGTAATAAATATTAAGATAAAATAATATAGTTTAAATAACTAAATAAAAATCAAAAGAAATCAATAATTATATTATTAATATAAGAAAAAAAAAATAGAACAAAAATAAATGTCAATAATATGACAAGAGGGTTTTTTTTTAAAGTTTTTTGGAGTTTTTTTATGATATCATTTATTATAAATAGTAGTAATACTAATCATAAGAATAAATATATTTATAAAAATTAGACAAAATTTACAAATGATCATAACGAGGTTTTTAAGCTACGTGTTGTAGCGCAAGTTTGCAAAATAACTTTTTTTGTTATTACGATATAATATGTTTTTTGATGTATTGTGATATAATTACACTTCGAAAACGCTATAAAATTAAATAAAATACGATTTATTAAGATTAAATAAACATTTATCTTACCTCCTTTGGTGGATATATGTGAATTTCTTTAATAGTAGAAGACGTACATGCAATGCTCCCACAACCCCTCACATAAACACAGGTGCGTTTAGGTTCACGGTGATTGGAAATGAGAGCAGAGACAAGACGAGGCTACATTTCAGTTGAGAATGGTCAAAAAGGGTAGGAAATGCATGAAGTGGGATTTTCTTTTAAACCTTGTATAAGAAAACTGAAAACATATGAGATTGAGGTTATGTTTGAAAATGAGAATATGAGGGGGCTTTTGAACCCCACACCATCCAACTGTTTTTGAGATTTCACTTTAAGTGAACATTTATAAAATATTGTCTCATGAAGCCCTGATCCAGTTTACTCGAAACTCGTTGGGGTAACCCGATTAACATGCCTACCTATGTCATTAACATTTAAAAATATTTAAAAATATAGTGCCCTACTAATAGCTACAAAATATATAAATGCTAAGAACCAATATATATATATATATATATATATATATATATATATATATATATATATATATATATATATATATATATATAACAACATACTTTTGCTTCTTTGTTTATTACTTTCATCATAATATAACATTGTGCTTTTATTAATATACCCAATCATAGCAATGACATCAAAACTACAAAGTATTTTTATTGATGTAATCAAATAGATTTTTCAAAGTACGTTGACAATAAGAAAAAAAGATGTAAA